CACACCCATATACACATATACACACACACACACATATATATATATATATATGTGTGTGTGTGCGTGCGTGCGTGCGTGCGTGTGTGTATGTATATTCTTTTATTCTCCCTTAATTGATACTCTATAGAACTTGACTTCACGCTGAGGTGGCAATTCAGCCATTTGATTCCTGTTACAGCAGCTCATGAATGAATGAACATGGTGAACTAAAAATATGTTTAGAAGTACGTTTTTTCAAACATGCTACTTCACTTTTATTTACTTGAATAGGGTTGGGGGTCGCGACCTAAGCATGCAATCAAGTTCTATAGAGTCTTGCTAATGACCTACTAATTTTATTCAGGTGTGTTGCAGCAGGGACACATGGAAAAGTTTCAGGACACCAGCCCTGGAGGACTGGAGTTTGATACCCATGCCCTATGGCAGGTACCCTATTCAGATAAGTCAAATAGGGCATGCTTGAATCAGACACCAAGCGAACACTGCAGCAGGGTCGAAGTTTTTTTCATGGGCACAACCAATAGGCTCAATTCTGTCGTTAACCCACAAATACATTTTCCTTATAACTGTTGCAATATTTAAGGGAAAATAAACAGGCTAAGAGGATAAGATCTATTGGCTAGAAGCAGTGTTACAATGAAGGAAAAATTAGCCAAACACAAATTTCCTTACTTTTTTTGCTGAGTTTATAATAGCAAGTAATTCTCACCTTGACAATTCTAATGAGAACCTTCAACTGATAAACATGGAGCTGCAGGTCCACACGGTCAGTCAGCCATGTTCCTATAAGGGTCATTGTGCTCGTGTACCATTGCTGTAAAATACACACAAACATACACCACTGTAGTGTCAAGTGATTCTCTGTGAAATGCACAATTTTAGCTCTAAACAATAACTTGACCTCTGTAGAGATTATTGCGATGGTGCTTTTGGCTGAAAAAAAAGGATAATTTTATCCTTGCTGTGTACCATTGAGAAGGCGTTTACACACTAGACGTGTAAAATCTATTCAAATATTTTGTGTTTTGGACTTACCTATTCTTAATGCAGCCGTTGACTCTAGCTGCGTAATTTCACTGAACAAATTACCTGCCCTTTATTTTTGATTGCTGGAATCCAAATACACAGTTCTGACGACTCAGGTCACTGCATTTTCAACAAGTGCAGTGGTAAATAATCATATTTCAACTCAGACACACAGCTACTCTACTCCAGACCAGTCGGCTCTCTGAAACGATTTCTTTGCCTCTTTAGATGAGGTCCCACCTCTGCTAACTAAAGTCCAAACTGCCCTCCTGAAATACGTATGAAAGCGGCAGCTTCAGCTCCTGGATGAAACAGTGAAATTCTCCCTGCTGCTGCCTTCTTCTTGGATGCAGAATCTCAGTTTCTTACTTTTCTTATTAATAAAACATCAGAACCAGTTCATCATACTTAATGTTGACTTCCCCATATGGAAAAGATATATATAAATCTTATAAAGTTAGTATCTGTCTTGTGTGAAACTTGTATAAAAAGCATACAAGAGTGAAAACAGATATAAGATCCATTGAAAATTATATAAGTGAAACTTGTATGTTTTGGATACTTACTAAAACAATATATGAAAGTGGCCACTTTCATATACGCCTTATATGATTCACTATATGAAGTAGGCCACATCTGATGCAAGTCTTTTATAAGTTTTTTCTATTTCTTTTCCATATGGGTATGAGGTGATTTGGTTCAATGGGCCTGATTATTTAAGACCTTGTATGTGAGGAGCAGGATTTTGAATTCTGGATTTAACAGGAAGCCAAAACAGGAGAAATCTGCTCTTTCTTTCTAGTCCCTGTCAGGACTCTTGCTGCAGCATTTTGGATCAGCTGAAGGCTTTTCAGGGAGTTTTTAGGACTTCCTGATAATAATGAATTACAGTCGTCCAGCCTGGAACTAATAAATGCATGAACTAGTTTTTCAGCGTCACTCTGAGACAGGATATTTTTAATGAGCAAATGAATAAAGGCTGCCTTACATATTTGTTTACTGTGTTTGCTGAAGGACATCACTACATAGCCAAAGGTATTTACTCACCCATCCAAATAATTTAATTCTGGTGTTCCAATCACTTCTATGTCCACAGCACAGTGTGAGCAGATGCTGAGGTGCATAATGCACACAGGTTGCCAACTTTCTGCACAGTCAATTCCTTTAGAGCTCCAGCCTTCAGATCAGCTCAAGAACAGTGCATAGAAGGTTTCATGGAATGAGTTTCCATTGCCAAAAAGCTGCATTTAAGCCTTACACCACCAAGCGCAATGCAAAGCACTGGATGCAGTGGTGTAAGCATGGCACCACGGGATTCTAGCGCAGTGAAGAGGTGTTCTCTGTAGTGACAAATCATGCTTCTCTGTTTTGCAATCCGATGGATAATTCTGGGTTTGATGAGGAAGAGGCCAAAGGAACAATGTTCCTCGACTTGTGGTAGCAACTTATCCCCTTCCCGGAGTGCTCCAGCCACCCTTTTCTGGCTGAGAATCATGGCCTCAGACTTGGAAATGCTATTTGTCATTCCCACTGCTTCACACTCTGTTTCAAACAGCCCCAGTGCAAGCTGGAGACTGATATCTTAAAAAGAGCTACATTATCCACCAAAACAGAGAGGCGGTCGTGAGGCCACTTGGGTATAAATGCTATATAAGTTAACTTAAACTGGATTTAATGAAACCATTTAGTCAAATCCACCTCTCAGGACTGCTGAGCCCCCCATTATGATTGGTGAAAAAGGGCTACTGCAAAGACCAATGTGACTGATTTCTTAAACTAAATCAGTTCATCAATTTCCTGAGAGCCCAGCAGCTCTTTTCTAGTAGTTTGTACATGTGAATTGTGACTGTAAACTGATGGGAGAGCAGCATACGAGGCAAGATGCCACTGGCTCAGCTATTACTGTTCTGAGATCAGTTAGACCTACACTTCGTATAGAAATGCAGCTAGCATTAGAGGGTAAATGAATTACAGTGATTTAGCATCGTAACGGAAAAGTTTCCCCCCGCGAATCATGTGGGTAACGTGAGGATGGTCTTTGAAAAAGTTCTTAATTATTCCTTTAATACAACAGCAAGAAACCACGATGGAGAGGGGACAGGAGTTCTAACCATGGCCATAAAACAGGCAAGTTGAACAGGCTTGGCAGTCATCTTAGCAATTGGTTCTACTTGCCTTCCTGTAAAAACAGCACACAACTGGCTAGACCAAGGTCGTGTCCAAATTCATGGGCTGCATCCTCCTGAGGACCCGGCCTTCGCGGTCTATGTGGGCCGGGTCCTCAGAGGGTCGGGTAGGCCGGAAGTAAACGGCCGTGAAATTGGACGGTCTAGCCTTCTGATTAGCGTCACCGCTGTCTCGGTGGAGTTTAATAAACTTGCCGTCTGCTCCTTGCTGTCTAAAATATAACAGGACACTGGCGTAAACTCTCGACCGTCTCATACTACTGTTTAATCAGTTTTCTGTTTGACGTTTAGTCAGCTGTGTGAAAACCAAGGAGGAACCCACCCGGGGGATTAATAAAGTTTCATTTTATCTAATCTAATAACTTTAATCTCAGCCAAACCGATTTACTCACGAACAAATAAAACACTGAAAAAAGCCCAACAATAACATTTTTAGGTTGTCTAAGTGACTTATATATTACGTTTAACCCGAGCAGCGAAAGTCCGCGGTGATCTGAAAATGATGTGCCGGGAGTTGTGCCGTTCTCGGTGGCTCCAGTAACCCTCGAGCTCCCGGCTAGCTATCGAACTGGTGGGTAGCAGACGTCTCTGAAAATGTCGAAGCACTTTAGCAAATATGCGATATCTTGATAAACCGAGCAGATATTTGATGTTTACACAGCTACTTTCTCGCCTGAAAATATGTTAAAAGTTTATTTTGTGACCCAGAAAGATTAGTAAGAGTAATTTTAAAACTTAGTAGCGGCCGCCATTGCTGGAAACTGGAGTTTGGCTGGGCCGCGCTATTGCATTCAGAGGAGTCTACGAATTTGGACCGCCTTCGGCGCGTCGCTGTGACGTAATCGGTCTAGAAATGCGGCCTCAGGAGGATGCAGCCCATGAATTTGGACACGACCCAAGAGCTTAGGCTGGAAAGAATGAAGAGCAGGTTTGGGTGATTAAGGGTAGAGGTGAAAGTGTATGTATGTATGTAATGAATGAAAAGAATGTGTTGAGCAGATGGACGGAATACTGACAAAGAAAGGAAATGAGCGAGAGAGAAAGAAAGGGTGGATGGATGGATAGTAAATCAGGAATGTAGAAAAATATTGCCTGCTCTGATGAATACCAGTTTCTGTTGGATGCTTGGTAGGGTTAGGTTTTTGACTAAAACCATGGCTACCTGCCTTGTAGCAGTGCCTTTGTGGTTGACTAATGGTGTGGAGAATGGTGCTTTGTTTCATGCTAGAGTCTCCTTACTTCCGACAGGAAGCATAAGTTAGCATAATGATTAGCAGCTATTAGTCATTTCTGATAAAGCCTTCTAAAGTAATTTTAATGTACTTTAATACCTAACCTGCAGTAACTTTTCTGGGGGAATACTGTCTGGCTTCCATTTACATTTCTTTGCTTTCATGTAATTAAATTAGTCTTGGTTTGTACTGTGATGTCATTTACTACGTTAGTAATGATTTTAAAAATAGCACACCTAGATGCATCCCAATCAAGACTAAGAAAACCACTGGTTGTAGTATTTGTTACTTTAGCCATAGCATTCCACATCATGTAGTATCAAGGTACCATCCATCGACCAATTACATCAGTATTTCCATTTTCAAACTAGCATTGACTCCTTGGCTTAGACAAACAGTAAGCTCTGTGAGGCACAGTGCGCTCCGAGCACAGCAGCTGCAGATGTTTCTCTTTGGGCCCTTGCTGGTGTCAGCCTAATTGATAGACAGTGATGAGTGTAGGGTGATACTAATACAAGCCGACTCACTTTGCACAGTCAGGGTCACAGCAGAATGGATGGGAGTCTGGAGAAAAAAGGGAATGAAAATGAAGGGGGAGGGGGTATATGCATGTTTAGAGGGAGGAAATGTCTATTGAATATGATAAATTACTTGATTTGAAAGACGCATAAAGAAACTATTTGGAATGTAATGATATATTAAAATGACTATGAAAACCCAGCCAGGGTTCAAACCATAAACCGTCTTGATTTCAGCCAATAGTACTAACCACTACACCATCACGCCACTCACACAATCTAACATGTCTAAAATCTCCCATAGCTTTCACTCTGGCAGGGCAGCACAGTGGAGTTTGCATGTTCTGTGTTTGTGTGGGTTCTCTCCGGGTACTCCGGCTTCCTCCCACAGTCCAAAGACATGCAGTTAGTGGGGATAGGTTAATTGGTAACTCTAAATTGCCCATGGGTGTGAATGTGAGTGTGTCTGTCTGTATCTGTTATATATAAGCACTCTAGTTATAACAGTTTATGTGAGGGGGTTGGATGTGTGGTGTACTAAGAGTATAGCTCCCCGCACCCCCAATTAATTTTGTATTTGTTTATTTCTAATGATAGACATTGAATATCCCAACGTATATGTTATTTTGGACTAATTATTTTACTTTATACAAAAATTATAATGGTACAAAGGGCAATCTGTATCTGTGAAATTGTTGCTCAGAGAACTACCATAGATGGTCGTGGTTGCTTTAATGTTCAGTATGTAAGCAGGTGGCTTGGTGCTACGTGCTGCATGCTGGATCTTTGAATGGTAATAACTTATTAGATTCTGTTTCTGCCTTATTACCCTACTATTACCACTTTATTACT